GCATAAGTTGATACGTATTAACATTAAACAATGAAATCTGAACGATTTGCGTGTCAAACAGTTTGTGATATTGTTCATCCTTGTCAGTCTTCAACTCTAACCTCTTGATTCTTCCTACTCCTTTCATCACACAAGCAGGTTCCAGGGGTAACTGACTTAGGATTAAAACCGCGACGCATAAAAAAGGTCGCAATTCTTGGAGGAGGTTTAATGGGTTCTGGAATTGCGACTGCATTGCTTCTTAGTAACTACCCGGTGATCTTGAAAGAAGTTAATGACAAATTCCTACAGGCTGGGTTGGGTAGAGTAAAAGGTAAAACCATTGTCTTGCTTTGATATGATCGGCTTATACTTGTTATGGCTTGTGACTAATACAATAATTTAATTTCTCAGCCAATTTGCAAAGTAGTGTCAAGAAAGGGAAAATGAGTCCAGAGAAGTTTGAAAAAACTCTCTCCCTACTCAAGGGTGCTCTGGATTATGAAGATTTTAGAGACGTGGACATGGTCATTGAGGTCAGTATTCTCATTATAGGATAAACTCTCTGATTTTCCTTGGTATCTTACTTTGCCTTACTCTTAATATGTGTAACAGGCTGTCATCGAGAATGTATCTCTAAAGCAGCAAATATTTGCAGATCTTGAGAAGTACTGCCCTCCGCATTGCATTCTAGGAAGCAACACTTCTACGATTGACTTGAATTTGATTGGGGAAAAGACCAAATCTCAAGATCGTATTATTGGAGCTCACTTTTTCAGGTAATATTTTCTGGAACTGTGAATTTTTTTTGTTGCACTTCTCTTGATAGTTCTGTCAAATTGATCGATTGGTGGGTGGTGCAGTCCGGCTCATGTGATGCCATTGTTGGAAATCGTCCGCACCCAAAAGACATCGCCCCAAGTAATTGTTGACTTGCTTGATGTTGGCAAGAAGATAAGGAAGACCCCTGTAGTGGTTGGGAACTGCACTGGTTTTGCTGTGAATAGAATGTTCTTTCCTTACACCCAAGCTGCCCTTTTGCTAGTCGAACGTGGAGCGGACGTCTTTCGCATAGATAGGGTCATTACGAAATTTGGCATGCCAATGGGCCCCTTCAGGTAAAAAGAAAACAGTGCTGTTGGGTTAGATTTGCATGGCTGTTAAGTTGTCCTGGCTTTAAAGGTTTGGTTTACCTATGCAGATTATGTGATCTTGTTGGTTTTGGTGTTGCAATTGCCACTGGTGGGCAATTTGTGATGAATTTCCCGGAGAGAACTTACAAATCAATGTTGATACCGCTCATGCAAGAAGATAAAAGGGCTGGTATGTTTCCTATATTTTGAAATGCCGGTCAGATTGTTTAGTGAAAAATACAATTTGAAAACATTTATGAATGGACATTTGATACACTTTAGGTGAAACTACTCGGAGAGGGTTTTATGTGTATGACGACAGACGTAAAGCGAGCCCAGATCCAGAAATAAAGAAATATATTGAGAAGGCAAGAGAGATGTCTGGTGTTACCATTGACCCTAAGGTTTCTCTCCCTCCCTCCCTCCTCGTAGTTGACTAATACTACTCTTGAGACTATTTTCAGTTTTTACTCAATTGTTTTGAACTCGACAGATGGCAAAACTCTCGGACAAGGATATCATAGAGATGATTTTCTTCCCTGTGGTAAATGAAGCCTGCAGAGTGCTTGCAGAAGGCATAGCGGTTAAATCTTCTGATCTTGACATTTCTGCCATTATGGGCATGGGATTCCCTCCTTACAGGTTTCTTTCAGAAACATTTTTCTGTTTGTCAATAAAACAAATCCCCCCAAAGTGAACTCTGTCCCAGGAACATGTAAAAAGAGACTTGATTCTACTAAGAAAAGTTTTCTTGTTTAATAAGAAAGATTTGTCTACTTTCTTCGCCAGAGGAGGGATCATATTCTGGGCAGACACTCTTGGATCCAAATACATCTGTTCACGATTGGATGAGTGGTCAAGAATGTATGGAGACTTTTTCAAGCCTTGTTCCTACCTAGCTGAAAGAGCTTCCAAGGGGGCTCCTCTGGTGAGTGTTTTGAGTTCTATTATTGTTATATGTTCCGGGATTCATGTGGGTTTTGAAATGTTTGAGCCAATCTCATAGACCTCTTTGTAATGTTTCGTTTAGATCTCCTACTTTATTCTGTCACAGCAGCTGCAATTATCAACCCTTTGTTCTATTATTCTACAACCGAGTGGATGTGTCTTGTTTCCTTTGTTTGCTTAGTGGACTAGGTTCCCATTCGCTGTCTGCAGCACATACTAGACTGCAGCTCAGATCAGCCATGAGGCCATCATTTTCATTGACACACATCCTTCGCTGTTGAATACAAGGTCACATTAGTCAAGTAAAAGCACTAATATGTTATCACTAGATGATCTTGAATAGTGTGGGGACTAGCGAATGTTATAATCATTAGCAACTGGACGTCAGTAACATTAGTAGTCACGTAAAAGCACTAATATGTTATCACTAGATGATCCTGAATACTGTGGGGACTAGCGAGTGTTATAATCATTAACCAGATGTATCAAATGCGGTGTACCAAAAGAAGAACATCTCATCATTAGACTATAGAGATAGCTTAGTGATAAAGACCCTAATCTATAAACACTAGGTTCGGAGTTCGGGTTATTAGTGTAATGAAGTGGAACGAACCATGTTTGAGTTTCTGGTTAACGGGGTTTGGGTGTAAAACTTTCCATATAAATAAGGCGAAATGGTCTGGTGATTTGTTAAACTTGTATCAGTTTGTATTATGAACTCTTTTGCTTATTCCTTTGTCATTTGGATCCTTAAACTCAACTAAAATGTGATTTTTAAGCCACTTCAACCATGTGTGTACCTCATTCTCCTTTATATAATTGACATGTCATATCCACGTCAGATATATCAACTGTTCTCCCACTCATCTGCTCGAAAATATTTACTGATATATTCATTTTTGTTGTGGTCATTGCAGAATGCTGCAACAGATTCAGCCAAGTCGCGCTTGTAAGATGAGCAATGCTAGTGAGCGTTCTTCCACTTCGAAGCTTCGTTATTTTCTTACTCTGGTCAGCTAATAGGATTTGGCAAGGAAGAGTCAATAAGCATATATCATTACAAGTTTGGATCACAAAGTTGAATTATTATTTTGCTCCCCTACTAAATTAATAAATGAGAACATTTATATTGCTTTTAGTCGTAATCATAAATTTCATAATGGAAGAATTTGATAAATTATGATATGGAATGTCATTCATCACTTTAATGTAGAAATTATATAACTTTTAATCGTAATTATAAATCTCATAATGAAAGAATTTGAAAAGTCATGATATGAAAAATCATTCATTACTTTAAGGTAGAAGTAATTTCAGAATTAAAATTTAAATTTAAAGGGTCATTTCTTAATGTTATTTAAGAATCTAACTTATAAAGATGAAAATTCACAATCGGAAATCGAAGTAGGAAAATTGAATAAGAAGATAAAGAGAATTAGAAATTGCAAGTAAGGAATGTTTATTATTAAATGTGTTGGAATAAATGATGTTTGTCAAGGAGAACATGGTGAGTATTAACAATCATATTATTTTCGTTCGATCCATCAAATTTCAAGTTAATCATCATATTCTAAAAAATTAGTGAAAAATGAAATATATTAATACAGAATTCACTACCTCAAAAAGCCCAAATAAATTATGTTTATCACGGTGAGTATTGGTGAGTGTACCATTTCCAATGGATTCACTAAATTTCAAGTTAATCAGAATCTGTTAATTAGATTTTAAAAGAATTTGCATGTACATCAATTAATAGACACAAAATAATCAAATTCATGATCCTAAAACATTAAATTGACATTTGTTATAACAAATCTGGTGAGTCATTATTTTCGAAAAACTCACTAAGTTTCAGATTATTCATATTTGTCAATCAAATTCAAAAAAATTATCATGTATATAAAGAAAAAAAAATCCTAATTTTATAACTCTAAAACATCAATAATAATAATAATAATAAGTATTGATCATTTGGTCTCTCTCTATATAAATAAAATAATATTGAGTGGTGATAACAAGTCAACAACATTTTACAAATCTTGCATCGTGTGCAAGCAAGATGGTCCATGCTATATGAAACAGCTGTTGGTTTTGAGTGTCAGATTCATCATGTACATCTTAATATTATACTAAAACACAAAAGACAAACGAATAAAAGATTGAAAATATTTTGAAAAATATACATGTTATTAACTTCCTCAAACTTCGATAAATCATATTTTTATGAATTAATTTTTTTACTATCGAAACACATGCATACGTTAAGAAACAGATCATATAATCTTTCAATCAGGAATATCATGAAACAGCATTCACACGAGGAATTTGAACCCAAATACGAAGCACTTCTTCATACTAATATTTTAGTAAATGCTTATGTATAAATTTTTATTTTGTATCGAAAATATTAAATTCAAATAATTTCAATATTACATACTCTAGATCCACTGATGGATATATACACTACATAGCCTTTTCTTTTACCGTATAATATATTTTAACACGTTAAAAAAAATATTATTTTCTAAAAATCATCTCAAAATATTTTCACTCGTATATTATATTTGATATAATATGGTATATGGATTATATTATATTCATTTAACTCCCTAACTCATCCAATACACTTCTAAACGTTCGATATGTCTCTTTGATGTATAACAAGACTGACAATTTAATAAAAATAACTAGGGTATCCTATGTTTTCATATCGTGTATGGTAATATTAATTTTTTTCTTGAACTATCTTATTTTTTTGTTACAATTATAATTTTGTTTATGTATGTTATGCATATATTTTGTATTCGCTTCTTTATTTTTGTTATTTTTAAAAAATTATTTTATAATATTCTTATCTAAATCGAGGATTTATCAAAAATAATTACGAGATTATATTGAATATTTTAAATTATAGAGCCTAGTCAGGATTCCATGTGCTTTTGGGGAGTAACATTTTCTCCTTGCTTCAATGCCACAACTCTTCTATTTTTGCACTCACTTTACACCACCTTTGTCCGTTTGACCATATTTGTGCTTCTCCAGTTTCTCTCCATATTTCTCTTTTTTTTATTTATACTATACTATACAAGCTTAATCCTGTAAAAATATAGATCAATCCATTGAAGTTGAGCTCTAGTAGTGGCTTTCAACATTATATGCATCAAGAATAGAAACTAAAGCATATAACAGAGTGTGTGTGTGTGTTTTGTCAGCTGGGGTTTATCAAGATTCAGTGCTTGCCCCCATTTTCACTGTGTGTGTATGTTTTGTTTAGTGGGGTCTATCAAGATTCAATATTTTCCCCATTTTCATAGTCAACTAGGCTTTATCAAGATTCAATATTTTTTTCTATTTTCACAGTGTGTGCATTTGTGTGTGTTTTGTCAGCTGGGATTTATCAAGATTCAATCTTGTTGCTTCATTCTAATAGTGTGTGCATTGTCAACTGGGGTTTATCAAGATACAATTTTTTTCCCCATTTCATAGTGTGTGTGTGTGTTTTGTCAGGTGAGGTTTATCAAGATTCAATCTTTTCCCCTTTTCATAGGTGTGTTTTGTCAACTAGGCTTTAACAAGATTCAATCTTTCCCCCCTTTTCATAGGTGTGTTTTGTCATCTAGGGGCTTTAACAAGTTTCAATCTTTTTTCCATTTTCACAGTGTGTGCATTTGTGTGTGCGTTTCATCAACTGGGGTCTATCAATATTTAATCTTTTCCCCTTTTCATAGTGTGTCTGTTTTGTCAACTGGTGCTTATCAAGATTCAGTTTTTTTTAACTTCATTTTGACAGTAGGTGTGTGTTTTGTCATCTGGGGTTTATCAAGATTCAATTTTTCCCCATTTTTGCTGTGAAAATGGTAATGGAAGGGATTAAAGAAGATATAGGTGATGGGAATATGCAATGTATGAATCATCCTTATAAAAACAGTTCCCCAGGTGGGATCTGTGCTTTTTGCCTTCAAGAAAAACTTGGAAAGTTGGTTTCTTCCTCTTTTTCTTTTTCCATTTTCCCTTCTTCTTCTTCCTCCTCTAGTTCAAGATCTGATTCTGTAGCTACTTCTTCCACTACTACAACAACCCTACAAGTCCCAACAACTATCAAAAACACCACTGATTGTGTGAACTATCATCCTTATGAAAACAATATTAGGAAATCAAAAATGCATTTTTTGAAGAAGGGTAGTAATAGTAATGTTAATGTTAATATGGCAAGTTCTGGTTCAGATTCTGGCATTGTTTTTAAGAGAAGTAAGTCAACTACAACCCCAAGAAATCATTTGCATTTCTTGGAAGCTAATGAAAGTGAAGATTATGGTCCTCACAGAAAAGGGTTCTGGTCTTTTCTTCATTACTCATCCTCAAAGCATTATTCTTCCACAGGTAAAAAAAGCGTCGTCTCGTTTAAAAGTTTAAGATGTTTGATAGAAGCATTATGTGTATTTACTTAATCATATACTTAACACGCCCCTTATGTACTGGTCTTATTCTTTTTCATGGACTGAGCATGTGGAAATTATCTGACTCGTACCTCTTGTTAGAACATAGATTTTGAAGTTGAAATTTGAAACTTTAAGTTTTTGAAACTTGAAGTTGTGTTTGAACATTCATTTTACTTGGAGAAAAGCTGAACACTAGCTTAATATAATGTCTCCTGTTAGTTGAGTGAGCTAAATCTTGCCTTTAAAAGTAGTTGGAATGATTCTTTTGGTCATTGTAGTTTGGTCTGCTTTGTTATCAGGTTGAAGTGTGTAATACTTTTATCTGAACGTTTAAGTTGATAAAGAAATGTAAATTCTTTTTGACAAGTCGATGACAATGAGACTCAAAAACCGGACTTCTTTCTTTTCCTCTCTATTAGTATTGTGTAACCATCATATCAGTTATCATTTAGAACATTTTTATTTACTTAATTGCGTCTTCAACAGGATCATCTATGAATAGTTCTAAAACATCAAGGGAGAAGAAGAAAGAAGAGGTTGTTGTAGTGGAAGAGAATGAGAGTCCTAATGAGACTTCATTTAACAATAAAGTAGCAAGATCAAGATCTGTTGGTTGTGGAAGTAGGAGTTTCTCAGGTGATTTATTTGAAAAAATCTCGACAGGTTTTGGAGATTGCACATTAAGAAGAATCGAGTCACAAAGAGAAAGCAAACCAAGATTTTCATCTGTTCATCATAAAGAAAGAGTCAACTGTGGTGGCATATTATCATACTTGGTTTCTTCTGAAGTAAATAATCTGAACGGAAAATCCCATCATATTGCTAATGGAAGAAGCAAGAATTGGGGATGGGCATTAGCAAGTCCAATGAGAGCTTTTAGCAAAACATCATCAAGTGTGAAAAGAGAAGATTCAAATTCAAATGATAACAAGAATGCTACTCCAAACTTGGATGCAATTCCTTCTCTGTTGACAGTTAGCAGCTAGAAAGAAACTTTTTTTAATCTAATTTAAGTGAAAGACGCTAACGTTTTGAGCAGGCGGGGATTGGAGCTATTGATCCAGAAAGAATGAGGCGTTGAAGCCGTAAGATTGATTTGATTCCTCCAAGCTACTACTACTACTGATACTACTACACAAATTTGGATTATAATCTTGTGTAGAAACTATGTTTATGTTTTGTCAACTAATTTCTCTGATTCATCACTGTTTATTAGAGCTCTTCCTTCTTTTTTTTTGGTCATGTTGTAAGGTGGATGTTGATTTCTCATAATTATCACTTTTGTATCGCAATGTAGAATGATGATGATTGAGTTGAATTCAAATCTTTTGTAGTTTTTGGGCATAGAGATGATTAAAGAATGAGTTCTCTTCTTTTTGTTTGATCAATTGTTTGTAATGATTTTCAATAAGAGCAATTCCAATCAAATCATGTTGTTTCCTTCTTTGTTGTACATGAAGACATAATTTTGTACAACTCTTATAACAATTCATGTATGGTCAGCTTGTGTTCATCTCGATTGTTTTGTTGAATACCTTATCTCACAAAATACTTGCTATCATAGGCAAATTCATGATTTAACTACAACTCATTCTATTTATTGGTTTCAAAATTTAGTATTATATTTATTTAGTATGAGTTTGTAGGCTATATTTGCCTCTGCTTATTATCTCGCGCTAACAAAGATATCGAATAACTCTTCTAACCAAAGTATCCAACAATTTTTTTTGTTTGTATAGGAATTGAAGTTCTGATCTCGATATTTTTTCGTTCTATTTATTGATCAATAAGCCACACCTATAAATTATTTTCCATACCAAACTTTCAAATCTTGATTGACAATGATGTGAGTAAAGGGAATCATAATAATTAAAGTATATTTTTTGTTATGAAATTTTGGAACCCTTTTTACATCTAAATGTCTCTATCTAGGAGTCTCATGACTAATTTATATGCCTACTTTTCTAGTTGGCCAAAAAGCTAGAAGCCAAAAAGCCAATAGATCTATAAAGAACAAGTTACTCACTCATGTGCAAGAATTGGTGGACACAACTAATCATGTTTTAAAAAAGGTTTATTTTAGAATAATCTTCAAGTCTTTAAGATCCAAGTCAAAATAGTATCACATGTTTGGTAGATGGAAAACACATGCCAAAAAGGTTTTAAAAATCAAGGGGGCATATGACAATTGACACCTAACACTAACTTAACTAAGCATACATGCTAGAATTTCATGTGTAACTTAGTGTTGGTTAGGTTATTTTATCACATAAAAGTCATTTTTCTATAATTATTTTAACTAGGTTTTCTGTTCACACTCAATTGTTGATTTAGCCTTTGTCACATAAAATGACTTCACGAAATAATTTTCAATCATTATGTTATATTGTTCGAATCTTTTAGAAATATCGTGATATGTACACAACAACAATATATCAATATAGTTTCATAAATGAGATTCGAGAAAAGTAATATGTACACAAATGTTATCTTAAGATAGAGAGGTTGTCTCTGATATATTCGAAACGTAATAATAGAGTGACCATTTGGACAACGAACTTAATCTAAAATGGTAGGGTAAAAGTCTGACTTTTTGGCTTATTGTTATCTCTACCTCATATATTGATTATTATTTGTTTGCTTATATATACATGTGTAAATAGGACAAGTAGATAAAAGTAACCATTCATGATGACCTGATTTGTAGATTACTCACAAGAGGCTGTAAATGTCTCTGCTCACTATTTTATTTTATTTTTTGTCTGTTGGAGAAAAAAAAATTGATTTATATATATATATATATATATGATAGAACTATTTTTTTGGTGTAAGTTTTGTCTGTGCCTTTTGCATGAATATCACATTGTCATGCATCTAATATTTCACCATTATACTTCTAGCATTTATTCTTTATTGTATATATATGATAGAACTATTGTTTTTGGTTTTGGGCTATGAATTTGACTTACTTTTTAGTGGATGTCTGAAGATGTCATCATGATCTAAGATATTGGATCGTGATAGATTGGTATAAGAGCTATAGATCTCATGTACATTTGCTTCGATCTTAAATACTTCTTTGAACCCACTCTTTCTTATATGAATAGCGGGAAGTATTCTGTAAATTAGATGGGGAATCGAAGTTAAAATTCATGGATTACAGCACACGTAAAATGAAAATTTTGATATTTCTTGATTCGGACCTCGTTTAAACTTGAAAATGCGGAGGTTTGCCCCTCCGGACCAACGCACACCATTAATAAGGTGTTCACAGACGCCCACAACAAAATTTGGTTAAAAATCCATTGGGATCACATATGACCCAAAATCCATGGACTGTAACAAACATAAAAAGAGAATTTGGTATTTTCCGTTTTGGACCTCTTTTGAACTTGAAAATGAGGATGTTTGCCCCTCCAAACCAACGCACGCCATTAATAAGGTCTTCGCGGTCACCCACAAAAAATTTCCACCAAAAACTCGTCAGGATCACGTATCACCCAAATTCATGAACTGTAGCACATGTAAATTGTAGAATTTGGTATTTTCCTTTACGAGCCTCGTTTGAAATTAAAAATGTGGATGTTTTCCCATCTAGACCAATGCACACCATTAATAAGGTCTTCATGGACGCCTACAAAAATTTCAGCCAAAAACATGTTTGGTCACATATCACCTGAAATACATAGACTATAGCACACATAAAATGAAGAATTCACTATTTTCTATTCCAAGCCTCCTTTGAATTCTTGAAAATGTGGACGTTTTCCCCTTCGGATCAACGCACACACGCTTTAAAATATGGTCGAAAGCCCATCGGAATCACATATCACTCAAAATTCATGGACAATAGCACATGTAAAATGGAGAATTCAATATTTCCTATGTTGGGCCTCGTTTAAACTTGAAAATGTGGACGTTTACCCCTCAGGTTCAATGCGCACCATTAATAAGGTCTTCACGAACGTTCACAAAAATTCTCGACCAAGAACCTTGTGTGTATATATATATATCTTGATGAACTTTTTTTTTTTGGTGTGAGTTGTCTGTAATTATCGCATGAATATCACACTGTCATGTATCTAAGATTTCACCATTATACTACTAGTATTTATTCTTTACTGTAGGCATTATTTTTTTCCCATGATAATCCTTTGTTTTTGGTTTCGAGCTATGGATTCGACTTACTTGTAAGTGGATGTTTGTATGTGTCATTATAACCTAAGATTATGGACTGGTATGTGGACGTTTTGCGACAACTTTTAAGAGTTCTAGCGCCGTTTAAAGTCGCCACTAATAACACCTTTTGCCACAACATGTAAAAGTTTCAGCGGCAATTAAAGTCGTCACTAGTATACACCTTTTAGCAACAACTTTTAGAGTTATAGAAACAGTTATAGTCTCCACCAAAACAACCTTTGAGCGACATTTAAAGTCGCCCATAATTAGACCTTTAGCGACAAATTATAATACTTTTAGCGGCGGTTGTAGCCGCCACCAAAAGGACCTTTAGAGACAACTTTTAAGAGTTTTAGCGGCGGTTTAAGTAGCCACAAAGAAGACCTTTAGCGACATTTAAAGTCGCCCCTTACTAGACTTAAGCGACAACTTCTAATAATTTCAGCAGCAGTTTCTGTCGCCACAAAAAGTTATTTTTAGCGACGACTTTCATTGCTTTTACCGACGGTTTTAGTCGCCACTAAAAGTGACTTTTAGCGACGATATTCATAGCCTTTAGCGACGGTTTCTGTCGCCACTAAAAGCGACTTTTAGCGACGACATTCATAGCTTTTAGCGACGGTTTTAGTTGCGCTAAAAGTGACTTTTAGCGACGACATTCATAGCTTTTAGCGACGGTTTTAGTCGCCACTAAAAGTGACTTTTAGTGACGACATTCGTAGCTTTTAGCGACGATTTTAGTCGCCGCAAAAAGTTACTTTTAGCGACGATATTCATACATTTAGCGGCGACTTCAGTCGCCACAATAAGTGACTTTTAGCGACCACATTCATATTTTTTGCGGCAGTTTTAGTAGCCACAAAAGTATCTTTAGCGACAACGTTCATTACTTTTAGCGGCGATTTTTGTCGCCATAAAAAGAGACCTTTAGCACAACTGTTATGAATATTAGCGACGGCTTTAGAAGTCTCAAAAGGACTTTTCGTGACAACTGTTATGAGTATTAGCAACGGATACAGTCGCCACTAAAAGAACTTTTAGTGGCATTTTAAGTCGCCCCTAATTAGACCTTTTAGCTATAGATTTTTAAAGTTTTAGCGGCGGTTATGGTTGCCAATAGGCCTTTAGCAACAACTTTTTAGAGTTTTAGCGGCGGTTCTAGTCGCCACTAAGTTGTTAGAGCGTTATGTATAGTCCATCATTTTTTATGGTATATTTTTTATTTAGGGATCAATTTTTAGGAATTAGACAACTTCCTTAGTTTTTTGTGTGTATTCGCCCTTGATATTGATGTCTTCTAGCGCCAGAAGGTTTTGTGAAAAAATCTATGAGAACCTCCGTAATGATGTATTACGTATAATTCCGCCATTTTTAAAGCATATTTTTGCATTTAAGGAACAACTTTTATGAATTACGCGGTTTTCTCGTGTATTATTGGCATATTCTGGTGATCCGAATTTTTTTTTTCAAGAAAAAAACTTTATGAGGAGGTATGTTGACAGTCAATCGAAACCATCTCTCTACCTTATAAAAGTAAACATAAGATTGTGTGTATTTTATCAAATCTAAACCTCGCCTTGTACGTTTATACTGAAGTTTATTGTTATAGTATATTATATTAGTCTCTCAAAAAATACAATTACATCTTTTGCCAAATAAGCAATATAGACACAATTTAGATTATACACAAATAGGTTGAGAGAATTTCATTGAAATGCTACGTAATTTCACGAGTGGGGTCTAAGGAGGTTGATGTGTACGAGAATTTACACCTATCATGTGAAAGTGAAAGATGATGTTTCAAATAAGACCGTCATCTCAAGAAGAGCATTTTAAAGCTAAGTATGAAAAGAAAATACAGTTGTGAACAAGTCATTACGAAAACAATGGGAAAAAAAATAAGTAATAACAACAAATAAATGATAACACAGCAAATCAGGAAACAACAATCAAGCTACTAGTAGTATATAGATATATAATTGAATTGATACATAGTAGTAACATTTTCCTTTTGGATTTTTTCTTTCAACTATGGTTTGTTAGTGTTCTTGTTGTTATGTTTGTTGATAATCCCTTCTTCAGTCTGAGTTGAAGGCTTGTAATATCCAGTGACAGGGTCTGGTACCCATGATGACTCTGAAGAAATAGAACTTACACTCTGATCTTTCACTAATTTTTGTTGATGATCCCTTTTAGTCGACCCTTCTTCTGCTTGTGTTGCACAATACCCTCTCCTACAATATTTTCTTCTTTGTCAACAACAATAATAACAACATATTCGGTATAATAACAACATATTCGATATAATCTCACAAGAAAAATCTGAGAACAAAGTTTACTCGTACCTTCGTAAGACAGAAATTTTGTTTACTGCATGTTTTGTTTCAGATTCATAACAAAATAATGAATAGGTACAAAAAAATCAACTCACCTTGTAACAAGATTCAAGGGAAGGCTACCATCAACAAGGCAATAAGAAGACTTGAATTTGGAGATGATTCTTGTCATATTGCAAGCCATTTTGAGTCTAAAAGAGAATTCCTAAGACTTGAAAATAATATAACAAAGTCTAAGAAATGGATAGTCAAAAAGTGGAACAATATGGTAGGCCACTTGTATAATTGAAACTACTTGGTCATTATGACTTAAGTACCTAGAAACTTCCCATCAATAAGAACCACCCACGTTGCATCATCATATTATATAATATAAAAAGAAGTTACCAAGAGAGAGACTTTATATACACTAACAATGTAAAATATACATATATAATCAAGTCAAATATAAAACAAGCACTAGTTAATTATCTAAAGAAAATGATAATTGACATGCTATCACAAGTTAAATTCACAAGAAGTACAAAATAAAAGACTTTTAGTGTATATAATTTATAACTTGGCGTGAATAGTAGGTGGCCTCTAGGCACGAGAAAGGCTACCTCTTTTGGCCTTTCATGTAATCACGACCTACTTGTGTTAACATATACGCCCCACATAGGACTTTTATTTTTTTAAAAACGCACCAACATATACACCCCACATATATATATATATATATATATATATATATAAAAACAAATATACCCTCAAATAAAAAGATAAATATAATTCTACATGATATTATCAGAGCAGATGAAATTCTACATGCAAATCTCACCCTATGAATCGTGTCCCGCATGAAATGTAAATTAAAGTACGTCGCTTCTAATAGTTTAAGCTTTTAGATGAAACATGTGATGCAGCCTCCTTTGATGTTTCGGATGAAACTCATAGGAATATTATCCACCCTTAACAACTACTGAATTACAAGGTACAAACCAGTAGAACAAGGGAAACAAGAGAAAACAAAGAGAAGTCGTAAATAAGAAAAAGGAAACATTGCAAATTACAAAGTATTCGAAATTTAAGATAATCTTTTGTAGTTCCTAACAAATGTATGCCTCTCCACATCTAAATGTCAAAATCGTGTTTGTGTGTAGTTCACTCAGATTGGGCAAGGGGGAACATCAAGGGTGATACCAGCTTGGATTTGGCCCCAACCTATGAGACGCCAGTGCTTCTCGATTCTCCTGCTAAGAGCAATTTTCTCACCTTTGCTGGTACACACAGGTGATGTCAATTGCAGTTTTGCGAAGACATTCTTAACAGCGACAACACGAGCCCCAGTTGACATAGATCCTATGTTTAACATGAGAATCTCTCCCTTGGCCAACTTTGAGACTTTACCCTGCCTTTCCGTGTCCTTTGTCCTCACTCCCAGAAGACGGCGGAGCAAGAAGAAATTTACCTGCATTACAAAGTGATGTGATGTGATTAGGAAGAAGAATAGTGATGTTCCTTTTGTTCTAAAAGACTCTGAAACTGATGTCTACCTCCAGTTCAACAAACACTTCAGGAAGTGAGCCAACCTCCCCAAGAACCTGTCCGACCAAACGATCAGCACGAGTCAATGTTGGATCCATAGTTGTTCCAACTCCAATGAGGCCTCCGGGCACAGCAAATTGTAGCTCATTTTGCTCAGCAAACAATGACACTATTCTTGAATATATTGGGGTACACTTAATGTTGCCACTCTCATCCTTGACAGTAATACCGGGACGAACCTCAATGAGTTGATTTACCTTCAGGACTCCCTGCAGAAAAACATTTACATGCTCATTTGACTTGGTCCATCTTTCAATCAGATTTTTATCCTCTATGTAACGATTAGCATAAGCATTAAGTATATCGAAAAAACATCTGTCGCATTAGAAATTTGTGCCCTTGGTCAATCAAGGAAACTGTGAAGGAAAAGAAGGTATGAGCAGTAGCATTTGTTTGCTTTATGGAATTTAAGGACACACCTTCAGTATACTGCCACCAGCGACACCGCCTCTGATATCATCAACTTCAAAACCAGGTTTATTAACATCAAATGATCGGATGACTATCATATTTGGTGGTGAAATGAAATTCCTCTCAGGAATGGGAATTTTCTTCACAATATATTCAGCAACAACATCGATGTTGTACTTCAATTGCGCAGAGATTGGTACAACTGGAGCACCATCAGCAACAGTTCCCTGAACAAGGTATTGAAATAAGATATAAAGATACAGCCTTAAGATCAAGCATACACACAGTAAAGAAGTAAACCAATTAAACTGACCTGAATAAATTTCTGAATTGCCTCATGCTGGTTAATGGCAACATTTTCCTGAACTAGATCAACCTTATTTTGGAGAATTATTATGTGTTGGAGGCGCATAATTTCTACAGCAGCTAAATGTTCAGAAGTCTGAGGTTGGGGACAGCTCTCGTTAGCAGCAATTAGAAGTAATGCTCCATCCATAATTGCAGCTCCATTAAGCATAGTAGCCATGAGAATATCATGACCCTGCAGTCAATTTCACAATACAAAAGCATTCTATATCAGGAAATTAAATGTCTAGCTGACAGTGAAAAAATCGGACAACAAACCTAGGTGCTTCGCAAAAGACTACATGTAGGGGAAGTGTTTACAGATTGACACGTTGCAAAAGGACAGTGCAGAGACTCACAAAAGAATCTAAGTGGATAACATATGTGCTATCTTCTTAAGTTTTAACAAAGGTAGAGGATCAAAAAGAATCCTACAGATCAGACCAACAGACAAAAGTTCCTATAAATGACAGGAGAAGGAATGTCAGACCATCGACGTGTCGAGATCATTTGTCAATATGTGACCATATGTGTTCAACTTTGTTATGATAACTTTAAATGTATTCTTTCCCCCTGCAGTCAAAAAAGGGGTATATCAGGTGTTTGTAGCATATACCGTAAGGGTCCCAAACCTGTTAAAAGGGAGCAGTAGTGCAAGTCAATGACAGTTCTAAAACAAAGATCTCTTTCCCCTTATATACCTAAAAAGGGGGCAAGCCGGGTTTTGGCCTCTGCTGTATCATGTAAGGGTTCTGTACCTTCCAAAAGTGAGCTGCAATGCAGCCAATGGAAGTTTACAAGACAAAAGAGCCTTACTTAGTATTGCAAAGTATCTACAAATACAAAAAACTATAGAAAAGAATCTCTCCAGAATGAGGTTAAAAAAAATCTCTCCACATAAAGTAACCTACTGCATGCTCACGGGCTAAAATATCCAAACCCGAGATCATAAAAACAACACCTACAGATTCTCACGGCAGTAACAGATGCAGCTATGAGATTTACCAACTGTTTGAGACCAACATAGCTGAACTTGCTTCTTCCTAAAGAAGGCATGACAGCTAAGAAGACAGCAAAAACAGGAGGCAGAAACTTTTTCCTTTTTTTTATATAACCGAGAAAGCATAGAGGACCACTGGTGCACAGTTTACAACCCGGTGGATAATCGGACAACCCCTCTACCCTTCTTCAGATACTAGTGATGTGTGCCTAGCCCACGCGTCACGCAATGCACTCTTACCGATAGACTAGAGCCCTAGGGGAAACTAGAAACCAAAAACTAAGGAAACGAAAACTCCTAGTCTTTCATCGAATCCAAGACAGAGCTAATTGGAACGAGTAGCATGAATATTAAATATGTTAACAGAACATTAAGAACTTTATTAAAAGATAAAGAAGAGAAATGGCCCATTTAAAAATTATCTTGATACCATCTTGTTGGTGTATTTCCTGATTTATGACAGCTTAAGACTTTCATTAGAGTATCCATATTTGCACAAGATCAGAAAATAAAGAACTATCATCTTCTGTCGCATCCCAATACTCAAGTAAAATGCAGTAACATATACTGTAAATGGTAGGTGAGAAGCTTACGGGGCAATCAACGAAAGATACATGTCTCAGCAATTTCATCCTACAGGTCTCAAAACCAGGGACATCACACATGGGACTGTCTTCTTTTGCACTTCCATATGCCCTGAAAAGGATACACGGTTACAGCATAAAAGTGACATAAATGAGCAAAACAGTTCCACTCAAGTTCAAGTACTTACTTGTAGCACATGGGTCTAGGGCAGCGGTCTTCTTCACATTTATATATCTTAGCATTAGCATACCCAAGCTTAATTGTGATGTTTCTTTCTAGCTCATTTTTAAAACGAACAGTCTGCATAAATAAGGCAAGACAGATAATTAGTTTCCTTCTAGAGGACAATAGAATCTTAGGTTGCCCCAATCAGCATGTGCTTAGCTTTCAAAATTTTTGTAGCATGAATTTGTTTTGACAAATGCAGTACGATCGAAGTAGCTAGACATAATCAGACAAACTATCTTGGTGGTCAATTTATCAAGGCAATCAATTCGTAATGAGCTACAAAATAAATTCAAATCATTAATGATCTCAACAGCTAATAAATCCAGATAACTTTCCCATAATAATGATGTTACATCTCACGCCATAATATATGCGGCACAGGGTAATTATATTCCGTCATAACTCAAAAAAAAAAGAGGAAAAACCTAGAAATACTTAGTTATTCTTATAACCAACCTCAAAATACTTTTAGGAAGAATGTGCAAACACACAAATAGTAGTTATTCTGCACTACAGAATAACTAAATTCCATCATAACTCCAGAAAAAGAGGAAAAACCTTGAAATAATCAGTTATTCTTATATGTTATAAGTTATAACCGACCTCAAAATACTCTTAGCAAGAATAAGCAGCGAACATATAGTAAGTAAACTGGGCCTAGACATTTAATACATGCTCAGATGGTTTATCCGTGAATTCAAAAGTAATATAAGGCCATGTATTTACAGTTACAATGATCAATATACTGGTTTTATTTTTTTTATAAGAAAAGATCAATGTATTATTTTGCCTTATAACTAACAGGAAACTGATAAAAACAAAGATATACTTAAGGGAAGGTTCAGATTCAAGAACAAAGGCGTACCTGAACTCCAGATATAGCTTTTACAACTGTTGACTTTCCATGAGCCACATGCCCAATGGTCCCTGAATAATGAACCTAAATTCAGTCTAATGCCAGTACTGTATAAAAGAGTTTCTCAAAGAAACCAAAATGCAGTGGACATATAGAATAACAGTAATACATGTTCATAAGTGACCAGTTTACCAATATTTATCGTAGCCTGACGAGAAATAACCTCTGGTGAAAGTGGATGCAACTTTGTTACATCCAACTTACTCAGGTCTTGCTCCA